AGGGTCACACAGCTAGTAAGTGTTATGTGTCTGAAGCCGGATTTGAACTCAGGTCCTCCTGCATCCAGGGCCGGTGCACTGCGTCACCTAGCTGCCCCCTGTTTATCAGTTCTTATAGCACAATAGTATTCCATTACATTCCTATACCATAACCTGTTCAGCCATTCCCCAATTGATGGGCATCCTCTCAATTTCCAATTCTTTGCTACCACAAAAAGAGCTGCTATAAATATTTTTGTACGCGTGGGTAGACCAATAATTTTTAAACTGTCTCTCCTGGATCTATTTTCCAGGTCAGTTGTTTTTACCAATGAGGTATTTTCCATTTTCATCTATTTTTTCAATCTTTTGTTTCTGTTTGACTGATTCTCGCTCTCTCAGAGTTATTAGCTTCCACTTGCCTAATTCTAATTTTTAACAAATTGTTTTCTTCTATTAGATTTTGTGCCTCCTTTTTCATTTGGCCAATTCTGCTTTTTAAGGAGTTGTTTTCTTCAGTATACTTTTTTTTTCCAGTTGGCCAACTGTATTTTTTAAGGACTTGTTTTCTACAATTTATTTTTGTCCTTCCTTTTCCAAGCTATTGACTCTTTCCTGCATCTCTCATTTCATTTCCCAATTTTTCTTCTATCTCTCTTATTTGACTTTTAAAATCCTTCTTGAGTTCTTCCAAGAAGGCCTTTTGGGCTTCAGACCAGTTCATATTCTCTTTAGAGGTTTCAGATGTGGGTTTTTTTGACAATGTTGTCCTCTTCCGAATTTCTGCCTTGATCTTCACCATCCTCATAATGAGAGTCTATGGTACGTTTCTTTTTGCTCATGGTGTTTGCTTATTTCCTGGCCCTTAAAAAAACTGAGGTCTCTGCTGGGGAGCAGGGGGTACTGATCCAAGCTTCTTGTGTTGGGAGCCTGGGGCCTGGTCACTGGCTTTGTGTGCTGGGGCCTCCAATGTTGGCAGTTGGAGGCTGTAGGGTTCTGGCAGCTTACCTGGTGTTGGGCTAGAATCAGCAACACTGGAGTCCAGGGGTAGGGGTGGGTAGTCTGGCCCTTGGAGTTGCCTGCTCACCCGGGTCCTTTGCTTTCTTTGGCTCCATGCAGATGGATGTTTCGCTGCTGCAGGATGTTTCTCCACCTGGGGCTTTGCCTCTTGGAGGTGTGCTTCCCAGAGTTTTGCTAAGGGACCAGGAGACTTGGCTGCTGGAGAACGCCATGGCGCATGGTGGTTTTCCAAGCTGGTTTTCACTGGTTCCCTTTCCCTACTGCGGCACTCAGGGGTCCTGGTGTTGGTGTTTGCCTGCTGTACCACCTGGGGTTCAGGATCTCCCCCTGGTGTGCTGAGGTGGGGCTTTCCACTGGCTTGTTGGGATGTCTCCCATTTTGTACTGCTCCCCCTTCCCCAGGGCAAGAGGGGCCTTTCCTGTTAATCCCTCAAGCTTCCTGGGCTACAGGACTGTTGAACTCCATCTTTCTGCTGGTTCGGCTGTTCCAGGGTTTTCCTGGGGCAATATTTTCTGGGCTTTCAGAGATTAATAAGGGAGGGTGAGAGCAACTTACTTCTTACTCTGCCATCTTGGCTCCTGGAAGTGGAACCAAGGCTAGCTCTTCTACACACAGAGCCTTACCCATCAGAGAGGCAAGTGCACAACTCTGGCATATCAAGAGTGTCTTCCTGTTTCTTAGAAAGCCAATGTAAATGTCTTGAAAACCCTCAGGGTTGCTGCTCTGCTATGATCTTAAGTTAGATGATTCTCAGATTCAAAACCAGGTTATTTGGAGGCTTCACTGACATTTCATCTCATCTCACAAAAACAATCTGAGGTTTGGGTTTTGACTGACATTGGTTTTACTGACACTTCATTTCGTATCATAAAAATAGTCTGAGGCAATGTTAATTGATAGATTGTCGAAGGAATAGCAAAGAGTTACCAGATGGCATTAAGTTACCTATAACATCAAGAGAAGCTTAGTGTGACATTCATGGTTACTATTATCTTAATCAACATCCTTTCCCCTTGTAACTTCACAGCTGGGAAAATGCTGATGCCTTAAAGCAAGGTTCTTAACCTTTTTTGTGTCCTGGACCCCTCTGGCAGTCTGGTAAAGCCTATGCACCACTTCTCAGGATGTTTTAAAATTTATAAAATTTTACAGGATTACTAAAGAAACCAATTATATTGAAATAGTTATCAATTTTTTTAAGTTCCCTGGCTGAGGATTGAGAACCCCTGTCTTAAAACAAGAACACTTCCTCATCCACTGTTATTTCGCAGCACATTTATTAAATCACATACAACCCTGCTAAAAACTGGTTGTGATTGCTATGGGAATGACAAAGGAACTGTGGTGTACAAATTTACCACCAGGGGGCACTCAATCACTATTATCAAGGCACTGAAACACTCGGATACTCCGTCTCACACACTCATACACACACACACACACACACACACACACACACACTTTAAAAGGTTGTATTGAATTTGCCTTCCTTATGTGATGATCAAAAGGGATTAAAAAATAAGAAAGCCCTATACCAATGTAAAGTAACACTTAGAGAACACTAGGACTAGTTCCTCCCCTGGTATGTCACTAGAGAGCAGCCACTGTGAGAAATGAGGCACAGCAGCAAATGTTCTGGGGAGTTTCTGTGAAATGGACGCCCACCCAGAGGTCTATGGTTTTGTTCTGTTTTTTAAAAGGTAAAGCATCCGTCTGCAAACACCACTGCCAAACAAACCGTGCAGAAGATGTTTTTCTCGACTCTGAGGAACAATCCATGTATTCCCTGGGACTCGTTTTCCTCTCTGCCTAATTCGTATAACCTTACTTACTGCAGTGACTAGAGGCTGTTAAAAGAACCCAGAGGAAGGACCTGCTGAAGCTAAGGCTGAAGGAGTTGAGAGTTAGGCACTGAAAGGGTTGGGAAGAACAACCAGGAGAATTCAGAGGCTAAGCCCAGCCGTGACTAACCCTCTTGGTATTTCTAGGTGGCCTCTACAAGTGAAGAAGAATTTTCATATTGCCACCAAAAATCACTGGGTTTGAAAAACTCAAGCTGTTCTTGCCCTTAAGGGCTGCATGCTCTTCTCAAGGAGGTCAGACTTACCTTGGGGCGCTCTTCCTTTTTCAAAGCAACGGCTTCCAGTTTTGCTTCATATTCTCCTTGGACTTGGTCTCTCTTCTTTAATACAGTCTATGGCAGAGGGAGAATAGGAGGAAAAATAAAAAAGACAGATAAACAAAAAAAAAAAGAACATAAGGGATGTCACAGCACCAACTCTTCCCTCCTCAGTTCCCTATTACTGTGGCCATTGTCACTGTAGCCCTTGAAAGGTTTGAAGGTCAACTTAATTCTCCCCTAAACAAGTCAATTCCTTTTCTTGGCCGTGGCAGCAAGTACAAAGTTATATCATGTGATTATTCAGTGGTCAGATGAGGGGTTTTAGATGCTCATGGGATATTCAGTTTGAAATCTCCAGCATGACTGTTCAAATGACAGTTGGGGCAGCCAGGTGACATGGTAGTCACTGGAGTCAGGAAGACCTGAGTTCAAATCCAGCCTCAACACTTACTAGCTGTGTGACCCTGGGAAAATCACTTAACCTGTTTGCCTCAGTTTCCTCATCTGTAAAATGGGGATGATAATTTCACCTCTCTCCCAGGGTTGTTATGGGGATCAAATGAGATAATATTTGTAAAGTGCTTAGCAGAGTGTTTAGCACATAGTAGGCTCCACATAAATGTTTATTCCTTCCCACTCTCTATCTGCCTAGTTGGTGACATGGGACTGGTATTCAGAAGACAGACTGGGGTTGGATATACAGATATGGGAATCATCTGCATTTCAGTCATTTTTCAGTCCCAAAGTGGCTTCTGGAATGCAGCTGTTCTAGGAATTGTACATTAAGATGCTAGGCTAGAAGAGCCTCGAGATTTCAAAGGTGAGCCCCTGGCCACGGTACCAAGGGAGAGAGTAGCAACAAGAAATGGAGCACACAAATATTGCAGGGCTTCACAGCCACCAAAAAGTTTTCATAAACATCATTTCATTGGAGCCTCATTACAGCTCTGTGGGGTAGTCAGGGCATGCATTGTTACAGATGCGGAAAAGACTCATAAAAGTAAAATGACTTACCCCAAGTCACATACCCAGTAAATAGCAGAGCTGGGGCAAGAACCTGGATTTTCCAACGTTCAAAAGAGGTATTTCTAAAGCACTTAGCATAGTGCCTGGCACATAGTAGGCATTTAATTAATTCTTGTTCCCTCCCCTTTCCTTTAAAAATCTGGGCCACTGTCCCATTATACGAACACACCTGAAGGGCTGATTCAACCCTTGTGGATGGGAAGGTAAAGAAAGTCAGGTGCTTCCTATATTTATTATAAAGTTAGACAGCAAGAAAGTAGGCACAGTACAATCTCTCACAAAGTAAAAAAAAAAAATCACAAAAGTATAGGCTTTGCACTGAATAATAGGATTAGGAAGAGTTATCCTTTGAAAATACAAAGGATTTTTAACAGGGAAATACGGGACCTTGAGAGATGAATGCATGTCAAAGACAGATTCTTTATAAGGATAGGAAAAAGTTAAGTTGGGTAATAAATGATGGAGATAGCCCTTCTAATGGGAAATTATTAACATTATGTACCTCTTCAGTAACTGAAATGTGTTTAAAAAAAAAAAGGGAATGTGTTAAAAGCTGAGAGTATACCCTAAAACCAGTTCAGGTAAGACAGAAAACATACATTTTCAGCCTTTCAAATATAGGTTTCTTTACTATTATAATATTAATATATAATAAATATATAATGCATAATAAAAATAATATTATTTTATTAGCATTTATATATAAATGATTGTATAATTATTTATTAATAATATATATTATCATTTCCCCCCAAGAGCTTTCAAATTGTCTACACACATCCTGGTTGACCTTTAGTAACTTCCTGAGGTTGGTTAAAAATGTTGGATTTAGAGCTAAAATGGTTCTTGGAGATTACATAGTCCAACATCTTCACTTATGAATGTGGAAAGCGAGGCCCAGACAGGTAATGTAAAATCATACGAGTAGCAAGAAGCAGAAATGAGATTCAAACTCCAATGAAAATATATCTTGTTTGTAATCTGTGAAGTAAATCTCAATCCTTGGTGCTTTCTTGAAATGATAGAAAACACAGAATAGGCTCTCTTTGTCTTGCACCTTATCCACAAAGTGAGATTATTATTGGAGAAGTGGTAGCAGTATTAAATATACTAGTTAAGGACTGTCCTAGATGGGATATAGGGTCTGAAAACTGTTTATATTCGATCTTCAAGGAGTTTATGGTTAAACAGGAAAGATGAGACCAATGGAGTAATGCCACCCTGGAGATGGTTAGAGTAACAGCTGTCTATAGCAAATAGAATCCTGTCACCATACATTCTCATGAGCCCCCAGAATTGATATACATGAGGCACAAAGAGAGAGCACTAATTAAATAGTAACTCCCTCCTAGATCCCTACGTAGATCTCTCTGATTTGTTAACAACCACTCACATTTAAGCAGCTTTTTAAAATTTGCAAAGTCCTTTTTTCACTTAACCAACACACTTCTAGTTGTGTGGGAAGAGCATATGCTAGGGGCTGGGGGGGGGGGGCACAGAGACAATGTTTAGATAAGATAAGGTCCCTGCCCCAAGGTCCTCAATTCAATGCTCCAGAAGTCAGTGATTGTTTGGGTGTGGTTATTCCCTCCACCAACACAGATAGTCATTTATAACTTGGAAGATGTTCAACAGTCTCTATGGATGAAAATTTTTAAATGCTTTGACGTCAACCTGGTGATTCAAAAAAGGCCAACTTTTTCCCAAAGGAACTAGACTGGTACTCTGAAGACCTAGTCTCTTAGTGGACTCACAAAGATTAATGAGGGGGCCCACCAAGACTAGAGAGAAGAGAGTATGAAGGAGGAGTGATCAACATGTCAAAGACTACAAAGAGGTCCAGAAGAATGAAAACTGAGAAAAGGCTAGCGGACTTGGCAACTAAGAGATCATTAGTAACTTTGAAGAGAACAGTTTCAAATAAATAAATAAAGGTCTGATAGCTGGGTGGTACAAATGGATAGAGCACTGACAGCACTGGGCCTGGAGTCAGGAAGATGTGAGTTCAAAACCAGCCTCAGACACTTATTAGCTGTATGACCCTGGGCAAGTCTATTTAAGCCTGTTTGTCTCAGTTCCGCATGTGTAAAAATGGGGACACATTGGAGGAGAAAATGACAAACTACTTCACTATCTTTGCCAGGAAAATTTCATGGACAAAGTCCATGGGGTCACCTAGAGTTGGACATGACTGAACAATAAAGGTCTGATATCCCAGATATAAAGACGAAGCACAGAATAGTGGATAGACAGCCTTGGAGCGAGAAAGACTTGAGTTCAAGTTCTAACTCGGATACTTCCAGTTGGTGTGACTACGGACAACTCACTTAACTTCTCAGCACCTCTTAGTGCTCTAGACCAGTGCTTCTTAAACTGTGGGTCATGACCCCATATGTCATGTAACTGAATGTGGGGGTCACAAAAAATTTGGCAACCGTAAAAGGTTTCTGAACATCCAACGACCAAAAATTAATTCCAAATCAAATGCATAATGAATCTGAGATGCTTCTGGCAGCGCCTGCCCATGTTGTATCATGCAACTTCACTGCAGCCTTGGTTCTCAAAATACAATATGCACACTTTGTGCTGTGTATGCTGTTACACCATGCAACACCAACGAATGCTGCCAGAAACACCTCGGCTCAGATTCAAGACTACTGTATGTGACGAAATGCAATGTTTTTACTGTACATACAAAATCGTTAGATGAATTCTGGCTTGGGATTTTCAAGAATTTCCAACAGTTTCTGAAATGGCTCTAAACATACTTCTGCCATTTTGTTTTGTTTTTTGGTTAGGCAATGGGGTTAAGTGGCTTGCCCAGGGTCACACAACCAGTAAGTGTTATGTGTCTGAGGCTGGATTTGAACTCAGGTCCTCTTGAATCCAGGGCTGGTACTCTATCCACTGCGCCACCTAGCTGCCCCTCTTCCGCCATTTTGTACTATGTATTTATGCAAAGCAGCGTTCTCACCATTGATGATTATAAAGTCAAAATACCGATCATCTCTGAAAAACACTGACAATGTTCTATGTTCTGTAGAACATATTTTTGCATGCAGAATTTTGCATAATTCTTTATGCAAAAGTAAAAAAAGCACATCCATCTCATTAATATGCAAATTTGCTTTCATCTTTAACAAATGGTAAAATTATATGTATACCAAAGAATTGTTTTAAAATAAATTTCTTTATGATTTATTATCAGTAAATGTTTGATTTGTATACCTATCTTTTATACCTATAAACCCAGGGTCAGGTAAAAATTTCTCAGGTGAAAACGGGTCACGAGTTGAAAAAGTTTAAGAAGCCCTGCTCTAGACAACTCTCTAAGACTAAAAATTACTGAGAAGGTATCATACCTCATTAATAGATAATTTACCATTGCGATCACAAATATAGTCCCCATGCCTCTATCCTATCCAAGAGAAATGATACATATATGTATATATATGAGAATAAGAAATATTCTCCAATAGGAAATTGGTCAAAGAATATGAATGGTTTTCAAAAAAGAAAAACAAGATATCAACATTTCACATGAAAGATATTCTAAATCACTAAAAAAGGAAACGCAAATACTGAAGTTTCTCACTTCACACTTAGGAAACTGGCAAAGATAAAACTAGGAAATGTTGGAGGGGCTAGGGGAAGACAGACTCACTAATATAGCATTGGTGGAGTTGTGATTTGGTTATGACCTTTGAACAGCAATATCACTAATTAGTCACATACACCAAGAACGTACGAGACAGAGAGAAAAATCTAATATATAAAAAATACAATATATTAAAATATTTCTAGCACTCTTTTCAGTAGCAAAAAACTGGAAATGAAGTAGGTGCCTACTAACTGGTAACAAATTATGTTATCAGAATGTAATGGAATATCATTGTGCTAAAAGAAAGCACGAATATGAAGAATTCAAAGAAACCAGAAAATGTGTATGAATTGATACACAGAAAACTAAGGGGAATCAAGAGAACAAGTTATATGAAGACCACAATTATGTAATGAAAACAAGACTTCCTAACTCTAATCTATAC